GGCCCTTGCCCAATCTGGCTTTGGTTTCTTCCTGTCGTAGAGGTTGGTCTACTGCCCCCTAGAGGTCATGCCAGGAACTGCTGTCTGGCTGCTGTTGCTGGAGGAGGTTCTCAAGCCTTCCCTGATGCCACATACTTTTCTAAACAGGCTGCCCCAAGTGGGCTTGGGACCCGCACAGCACCACCCCACCCCACCCACCCCTTCTGCAGGGTGCTCTGTCCACCTCTCCCACCCCCTTACTTGTGCTTGGACTTTTTCTGAACATGAAAATATGCAGATTGCCCCACCGGAGACAGGAGCAGCTGGCGAGGGGAGCACCCGGAGAGCACACGAGGGTCCTGGAGACCCCACTGCCCACGGCGGCCGCAACCAGACGTCACAAGCCATCAGAGCAGCCCTGGCTTAGGGAGACGCACTTGAAATTGATTGATTGATCAATTGCAATTAGTGGAAAAGAAAGAGATGACTTATTTTGCCTCGTACGACCCTAGCCGGTGGTGGGCAGGTCAGATCTAACAGGGCCCGACAAAGCACAGGGACATGGTCACCGCAGGCTTGGTGGGTCTGATATGAGGGTCTCAGACAGATCTGCAGGGACTGCCACGTCTTTACTTAAAAAAAAAAATCCACTCCACTCATGGCAAAAGGAAAGGTGCACATCTGAGCTCCCTTGGAAAGATGTGTTGCCATGGCTCCCTGCCCATCTCACCTGGCCGGGCTGGGCTGGGCTGGGCTGGCATCCGCCGGGGAGATGGACACAGGGGAGGCTGCGACTTCTCCCAGAGAGCCTTCTTGGTTGGGAGGACTGTCACTAAGAGCAGAGTAATTAACAGACAGGCTGGGGGACATCACGAGATGCTGAGTTCCGGGATTTCAGATAAAGGCCTGGGCCCTGATCAGCAAGGGGCCCTCAGACAGGAAGACCCGGGGACGTGGGGAAGTTGACGACTCAGCTCAAGGCAGAAACCCTTAGAGGGCTTCCTGACTCGGGCGCGATCTCTGATCTCTCGGGATATCGGCCTCTGTGGCACCAGGTCCGTCCAAGAGAACCTCCCAGGTACGAGAAAAGACCTCTCTATTTGCTTTCGCTTTCAGACAATCTTAACCCAGGCTTTTGTTTGCCTGGAATTTAAGACCTCGTGACTTGTACGGGGAAGGTGCGCCTGGAAATGGACAGGACAGAGATGGGGCCCTGGCTTTCCACCCGTCCCCCCCGGGGGCTCCCACGGGGGAGCCACGCCTGGGCTCTGACTCCTGCCCACAGAAGGTGCCCGCGGCCGGGGAGAGTGACCCCACACTGTTAGAGGTGGGGCTTGAGCTGCTGCGTAAAGAGGCTTGACCCCCCACTTTCTGGGGCTGGAACCCCTGTGTCGTTCTGACTTAACAGCTTGACTTCTACATTCCTGTTTCTCATCTAAGACATTCCCTGTTCAGTCTAAGGTACTTTTGGAGGAAGTGTCGACTGAAATAAAATGCACAACTTAAGAGCCAAGAGTTATGTTATATTTGGCAGACGTTTCTGAGGATGACAGCCTCTCGGGTCGCCCGGAGGGACTGCTCCAAAGTGGCAAGGTAGAAGCCAGGTAGTCAGAACAGCAAAAGATTACTGTTATTTAAGGAAAACCAGCGACCTCAAGCCAAGGAATTTAGTGCTTTTCTAGGTATGGGAAGGCACAAAGTTCTGGGCTCATCAAAATAATCCCTTTGATGGGCACCTTAGCTCTCTAGGGCAGCGTCCTGTGCTTCCCATCCTGAGCCCTCTTGGGGGCGCCACTGGGGCGCTGCAGAGGCCGGGCTGCCCTCTTGTCTGCATCCAGAGTTCCCTCTGCTCACTGTCGGGGGTGGTGGCCTGATGACTTGACGGCCACAGCATCCTTTGTTTACTGACACAGCTGCAACATTTTTTGTTTACAGCAGTTTTTAAATTAGCCAAGTGGGCTGGGGCAGGGGCGGAGGGAAGCACCCCAGCCTTCTGAGAGGCTCACCACAGAAAGGACTGAATTCCGGCACGTGAGGACGTCGTGAACTCTGAAAACATTAGACCAACACGAAAGACCCCATATCATACGATCCCACTTATGTAAGATGCTCAGAAGAGGCGAACTCTGTGGAGACAGAAAGCAGCTTGGTGTTTGCCAAGGAGGGAGTGAGGAGCGACTGCTAACGAGTCTGAACTTCCTTTTTAGGGGGGGTGGGAATGTTCTGGAACTAAACAGGCGGTGACCGTGTGGCATCGTGACTGTGCTGAACGGCACTGCATCATGCACCTCAAAGTCGTTCATTCTGCGTTATGTGAATTTCACCTAAATTAAATGAGAGAGAGAGGCGCACGTCTCAGAGCCAGAGCGACCGCCTCAGTTCAAGAGTAAAGGTGCCCTGGCTGTTCTGGCCCCACTGGGCGGGGCTCCTCCATCAGAGCTGGCTCTCAGGACGGCAGCCCCACCGCAGTGTCTGCCCCTCTGTGGGCAGGACTGGCATCCTCAGGGCGCCCAGCTCACGGCCCAACTCAGAGACGACATTCCCGGCGTGGGGGCCCTGCCAGGTGCCGAGGGCTCCCCCTTTAAGCAGAGCTGCCTCCTCCTGCTGCTTTGACGGGGGCAAAGTGTCCTTTGACAGATGCTGCCTGTCATCCGGGGTCAGGGGTGCGCTCTGGGCGAGAGCCTGCGTCTCAGTCAGCCAAGGGACCGAGAGCCTGTCTGCTACCCTGGAGGCCACCTGGGGTCTCTTTCTCTGGAGGGGATGCCCACTTTCCCCCCTAAAATTGTCTCACCGATAAATCCCCCACTCCTTGATGAGGACCGAAGCTCCAGCTGCCTGGGGTTGGTCACAGGGCTGTCTGCCAGCTTCCTGTCCATCACTGTCACGGGTTGGAACACCCTGACCCGGGGCCCTAACCACATCTGACCCTGGCGTTTCCATGGCACCAGCTGTCACCAGGCCCCAGGCCTTATCATACGATTGCCCTGATCTGATTCTGATCCTCATAGACCTGATTCCGATCTCCAGCCCCCGTTGACCTCAGACATGGGACACAGGGCAGCCCAGGGCGGGCAGCAGGGGGGCTGGGGCAGACCCTTCCACCTCGGGGAGAGCCCTGACCGGACGGGGTTCCGTCACCCTGGGAAGAGGGGCCGGGCCCTGAAGCTCTGAACCCCAGTGATGCACCACTCTCTGAGGACAAGCCGCAGGACGAGGGGGTTTCCCAGGTACGTGGCAGGCCTGGGTCAATTCTTAGAACAAGCGTTGTTCCAGAAGCTTCTGTGACCCAGAAGCAGAGCCTCTGAGGCTCGGGGCTGCAGGACCAGGTGGGCATTGCTGTCCTGAGTCCTCACACGACTGGCTCTGTGGTGTTCTTACCCCAGCTGTGTCACTCAGCTCTGATGGCCGTAACAACCCCCCACAGACGGCAGCTTAACCAGCAGACGGTCACCGTCCCCCGTCCTGGGGGCGGGAGTCCGAGGGCCGGCGTGGGCAGGGCCGGCTCCACCCGGGGCCTCTCTCCCCGGCGTGGAGACAGCTGCCTTCTCCCCGCGTCCTCACGTGGTCGTCCGTCTGCGTGTGTCTGCGTCCTGATCTCCTCTTCTTGTAAGGATGCCAGTCCTGTGGGATTAGGACCCACCCCAGTGACCTCATTTTACCTTATTCACCCCTTGAAAGCCCCCGCCCCTGAATACAGCCACCTTCTGGGGCGCTGGGGGTCAAGACTCCAACATGTGAATTTGGGGGGACACAATTCAGCCCAGAGCAGCACCCCTTCCCCAGATGGGGCTACTGAGACAGGAAGAGGTTAGCCACGCACAAGGGGGCTGGGATCTGCCCCGAGGAGGCTGGCTCCCAGGCCCTCAGCCCGGGCTCCTCAGACCCCCTGGTTAGCCCAGCAGCCAGATTCCGGAGGAAATGCTGATTCTCAGTTGCATCTTCAAGTCGGGCGACCAGCCACCCCAGTCTTCCCAGGACACGGGCCATTTAGGGATACAGGTGGGGAAGTCCCAGGCAAACCGAGCAAGTTGGTCACCCTCCTTGCGAAATCCAACAAAGACCCAAGTCTGGCAGGTGTGAGTGGGTACCCGGTCCTGACCGTTGGTGGCGGCCACTGCAACGTGGGCACAGCCCCGGGCCCAGGCGAGTGCTTCCCTGGGGACCCCACAGGGCCTCCTCGGGGATGCAGAGGCCCCCAGAGCGCCCCCTAGTATAGGTGACCCACAAGAGCCCCTCGGCCAGCATCCTGGAGGGGTTCACTCACTGAGACACGGATACCCCAGCGCCCCTCCTCTGTGCCAAACACTATTCCCTGAGCTGGAACAGGCAATGGGCGAGATTCTTAAATGAAACAATCTCACATGGACTTATATGCTCAGGGGGCAGGTGTCAGGGGGTGGGTCTTGCAAAAGCAAGTAAGTGGGTGGTGTAGACCATTAGCAGGCGGTGAGCGCGGGGCAGGCAGGACCACTGGAAGGCGCTGGGTGGGGAAGCCGCCCAGGGGCAGGACCAGGAGCAGACGGAGCCTGTGATGAGGAGAGACCCTTCCCGGCAGCGGAGCAGCACGTACAAAGGCCTGGGTTGGGAAGCTGGAGGCCCGGTGCCTGAGAGTGGGGGCGGGGACAGGCAGAGGAGAGGTGGGAGCGCACCGCAGGGCGAGGAGGGCCGTCCGCAGCTGCCCCACAATCTCAGTGTCACCGCCTAGACCACGTCACGAAGACAGTTTGGCCCCTCTGGGAAGAAGGCCGCGAGGGCCTGGGAGGTGTGGGCTAACTCAGGGCCTCGACCAGCATGAAGCCCTGAGGACCCGCGTGAGCCGTGGAGGGGCGGACGGAGTGGGGGCTCGGGGAGGCCAGGGTGAGACCTCCCACCGCATGTCAGCATCTCTCCTCCACCCCGTTCTGTGGGACCCCTGCCAACCTGGGGCCCCAGGCAGAACCCTGAGGGCTAAGGGTAACCCTGACTCCCCCAGATTTGGTACGTTACCAAATCTTTGTTTTCCCAGGGTGTGCCCAATCCCCATGGACCAGCACTTCCCAGCCCTCCCCTGGAACTCGAGTCTGGACTCTGAGGGTGAGACCACCGTCCACAGAGCCGCAAATGACACAGAGGGCGGGGCTGGGTGGTCCCTGCACCTGCCGGTGGTCCTGCCCCTCACGGTGCTGGTGGCTCTCTGTGGGGCACTGGGCAACGGTGCCGTGTGCTGGCTTCTCTGCCTCCACGTCTGCAGCGGCCCCTACTCAGGCCTACGTGCTCCACCTGAGCGCTGCCAATGGCCTCAGCCTCGGCTGCACGGCTCTGGTCCTCTTGGAGGAAGTCCTGGAGCTGCATCACCAAGTGACCCTGCACGTGGCCACCGTCCTGGACCCTGTGTCCGACTTCTGCGACATGGTGGGGCTGTGTCTCCAGGCCGCCATGGGCACTGAGGCCTCCCTGGGGGTCCTCTCTTCTTCCTGGAGCCGCCATCGCCCCAAGTGGACCTCGGCCGCGGTGAGCAGCCTGAGCTGGGCCCTGGGCCTCTGTCTGCACGTGGCGGACGAGGTCTGTGGCAGCTCCAGTAAGAGCCCAGCCTTCGACAGGTTCCACGAAGGCCTGGGGGCTTTTTACCTGCTCCTCTGCTTCACGATGTGCGCATCCAGCCTGACCCTGGCCCTCCAGTGTCCCCAGCAGTGTTCGCCCTCCAGGACCTACCTCGCCATCCGCAGCGTGATCGTCACCCTCCTCCTCTGGGGCCTGCCCCTGGCCATCGGGACATTCCTGCCTCAGTGGGAGTACCTGCCGCTGGCCTCCAACCTGCTCTTTCTCCTGTCCAGCGTGGTCAGCGCAGCTCACCCGGCCATCTACCTCATGGCCGGGCATCTCCCAGGGGGCGGTGCCGGGACTCCCTGCATGTCCTCCTGCAGGGGGCCCTGATGCGTGAGCTGGGGGCATGGAGGACGGGAGGGAGCCTGGCCGCGTCACAGGGCAGAGTCCAGAGCAGACCGCGTGGGGAGGGCCTCCCAGCGTAACAGTCGGATCTGCCTCTCTGGCTTTACCCTCTGTGTTCTGCCGCTTCGCTGCAAGTTAGTCACTGAAGGGATGTCACCTGTAACTGGAAGTGTATCTAATGGCCCGACTCCGGGGACCCTGCCTCCCACGCCTGAGCGTTCCACTAAAATGCCTTTGTTCAGCTCACGGGAAACATCCTGAGCAGGCGCAATGCACAGGTGACGCACCGTACGGGTGACCCGCGGCAAGAAAGATTAACACATCCCTCTGGAGTCAGGCCAGAACCGGGAAATATTTGCAACAACTTATCACCTTTTTCGCTTTAACCCCCACCTCCCCCACTTTGCTCCTAAGCATCCAAACCCGGCTTTAAGCAGCTGCTTCACAGTCCGCCACACCTGCTGCTCCTGCCACCTCTTCCCGGAAGCATTCCCAGATTTCCCCCTTCCCTCTGCCTTGACCTCTAGCAGCACCTCACCAGCCCTCTCCTTGTGGCCAGAACCTCAGCTGGAGCCCCTTGACCAACCTCAGCTCCATCCCTGCCACTGCCCCTCCACCCACATCTCTGCACCGGGCACAGCCACTGGCCCCAGGTTTCAGTGTGCCCCACAATCTCTAGGAGGGCGGCGGTGCCCCGAATGTCCCCCGGGTGCATCTGTGACCTCGGGCTGCGCTGCTCACACGGGGTCTTCCCTCCCCCCGCCACACCGACCCCCTCCCTGCTCAGCCCTGCAGGTCCCTCTGCGCACCCGCCGCACCCCCGCCTCCCCCCGCATGCGTGTCTCTTACTCCTTCTCATCTTTCCTCCTCAAAGACCCTCCCCGGGTCGCCCCAAACACCCACACTTCTCTCTCCCCTGACACCTGTTTGCTTTTTAATGCAGTTACCACCCCGTCATTATTTCCCATTAGTTACCTGACGTGTATCATGATCTGTTTACCGTGGGTCTTCCCCGCATGGACTCGAAGCCCCCGCAAGCAGGGACCCCCTTTCCCTGTCCACTGGTGTGTTCCAGCCACCAGAGAAACCACTGCACGCGCCGTGTCTCGGCACATGTCAGCCGGTGGAGAGAGCAGGTCACCAACCCGCCACGCGGGTGTCCGCACAGTTTTCATCAGCTGTCTTCCTGCTACGCACCCATCTTTTAACCAGAATCCAACATCTTGTCCTTGGAGATTCTCCTCCATGCTTTCAGAATTGATTACAGTCTTTTTTGCTTGTTTAGAAATGTCATGCATACCATGACTCTTATGTGAAATTTACTTTCTTCGTTGCTTGAAACACAACCAGGTTTGTAAAACATGCAACCGTATTAGTGAGCGATGTCCAGTCTGTCCTTCCAGGCGCACGTGTGGACACACACTAGGGCAGTTCTCGAGGTGCTCAGATTAAAGCAGTGCTGGAGACGCCGCTATTCGGATCCTGTTCATTTCTACCTGGTTTAAAACCCAGAACTGACCGTGACGGGTCAGTGTCCCCTTACAGTGTATTTCCATTGCACTGGCATGTGAGGCAGGCTTTGGCTGACACTTGTGAGCAGGTCCAGCCAGAGAGGTGGTTGGACAGGCGTCCCGGCCCGGGCTGGCTGCCAGCCAGGCTCCTGAGAGACAGGGCCCTTCCCTCATCCCGCAGCTGGGGCCCCGGATCCAAGGACACGGCCCTACGAGAGGGCGTTTCACGTCGCACAGCTGCTGCGTCGACCCCAAGGACGTCCTCTATAACCCCTTCTTTGTTCTCTTTCTCCTGCCGAAGCTTCTGTTTCAGGGCTGAGCTCCACGGGAGGGAAGAGCCTGACCACACGGGGTGACTGGCGCCCCTGGAGCCCAGGCGCCGAGGGCGGAGCCTTCCAAGGGGAGACCCGCAGCCCGACCGACCCGGGGCTGGAGCCGCTGGAGCCGCCCGCACCGGCTGCCCGCCCAAGTGTCTCCTCTCTCTCTCTGTCTGTGGGCAGGGAAGCAGGTTTCTCTTTCCCATTGTGTCCCTCTGCCTCTACTGAGAATTTGTTCTCAGTCGGTGGGCAAGGAGAGAGGGGGTTCGGGAGAGAGGGGGTTGCCCACCCGTTCGGCGGGCTTCCCAATTTGGGGGTCTCTGTAACTGCCAGCAGAAGAAACTCTGGTCTGAGAACAGACAAAGCTGGCCCAGGCTGAGTCAGCTTGGGCGGCCATGACAAAGTCCCAGAGATGGGGGTGAGGGTTCAACAAGTGAGGTTTCTTTTCTCACAGTTCGGGGGGCTGGAAGTCCAGGACCAGGGCGCCCCCACAGGTCCTCGGCCAGGGGTCCCCTCCTGGTACTCGGGAGGCCTCTCTCCTACTGTGCCCCCCAGGCTGCGTGCTGGCTCCCTCCATTCAACAAGGCATCCCCTTACAAGGCCCCTAATCCCACCCCAGGGCTCATCCAAACCCACTTACTCCCCAAAGGCCCCTCCAAAACCACGGGGGGTTAGGGCTTCCATGTATGAATCTGGGGAAGGACACAACATTGCGTCCACAGCAGGTGGTCTTAACAAAAGACCACGGACTGCGTGGCAAAACAGAGCAATTTACCTCCTCACAGTCTGGAGGCTGGAATCCCAGATCCAGGTGCCAGAGGGGCTGGTTTCTGGTGAAGTCTTGATACATCGGGGCACGAGGTGTCGGGGCAAGGAGTAAAGACTTTATTTGGAAAGCCAGCAGACCAAGAAGATGGGGGACCAATGTCCTGGAGAACCATCTTCCCCAAGTCAGAATTCAGGCTCCTTTTGTATTAAAAACGGAAAAGAGAGGGGATTGGTTGTTGCAAACTTCTTGGTGTTAGAATCCTTTGTTCTTGCAACTGTCCCCGTACGTCAGATCAGGGTGTCCCCGCAAAAATCCAACAAAACAAGTGCTATTCTCTGTTCTGCACCTTTTCATCTCTGTGTGACTGGGGGGTGTGACGCCCTTAAAGGTCAGAGCCTTGGGAACGGGCTGTCCCGTCTATGTCAGGCTATAGGCCGCATTCTTTAATAAAAGGTGCAGAACCGGCATATAAAAGGAAACAGAGCACGGGGTTTGAGCAGCAGGAACACATCCGATGCGGAGTCAGGTTTGTTCCTCCCTGTTACGGCCTCTCTCCTTGGTGGGCAGGCCACCACCCTCTTCGTGTCCTCACTCGGTTGTCCCTGCGTGTGCTCGCCCCTGGTGTCTCCTTATAAGGACACCGGTTCTGTCGGCTCAGAGCCCCACACTTACGGCTTCACTTCACCTTAAGCAGCTCCCCAAACCCCGTCTCAGGTACGGTCACGCTGGGAGTCAGGGCTTCTCTGTCTGAAGAGGGGACACATTCAGGCCATAACACTGGCCAGGCTCCTGGACTTGCCGCTCCCTGAGTCCTCCCTCCATCCCGGCTCTAAGTCCTCGCTGACCAGGTCCTTGGTGCAGGGGACGGTGGTGTGCCCTCAGAGTGAAGACCGGTCCCCACAGCCCGAAGCACCCCAAACCACTGATCAGAAGTGAGGCAGCCGACGAGTGAGTGGGTGAGTGGACGGAGGGGACCCCGCCTCGGGGGAGCAGTGCACCAGCTCTGCGGCTGGGAATCCGCACAGCGGGACCCAGCCTGGCAGCGTGACAGACGGGCTTCTGAAATGCCCCCTTGCGCTGACCCTGCCCCAGACAGGCCACCCTCGCCCCTCCCCGAGGGACACGGTGCCAGTGCAGGAGGCACCCCCTCCCCGGCACCCCCCGCAAACTCGCCCACCGTCATCCCTGCACACCTGGGAGGAAGGGCTGAAGGGAAGGCGGGCTTGCGGGCTGAGAGCGGACCTGTGGCTCCCCCAGGTTGATTTCACTTGAAATGACAATATAACCCCGTCCATGTCAACATCAATGACATCTTTTTATGGAAAATTGTCCTTTCCCTTTTCAAAGGAGTTTGGTGAGGACGACACGGTTTTGCATGTTTGCAGGCCTCTCTGGTGCCTGGCGTGAGGGAGGAAAGCAAGGCCTTCAGTCCGCGGCGTCACCCCACGCAGGAAGCCTCTGGCAGACCCCACTGCACCCTCATGAGCGGATGGACAACGTCGAGCATTACATGCAGACACTTCCCACCTCGCTTACTCCTGCCGGGCCTCAGGGGACACATTCCCAGGGCGAAGGGGTGGAGGTACCTGCACGTGTCTTTTTTTTCCTTTTTTAACGGCGGCCAAGATGCAGAGAAGCCAGGAGGGCCAGCCCCGGAAAACATCGAGGGGGCAGAATCAGCAGGACTTGAAAGTGAGGCTGGCTTCACATCAGGGCCGCTCAAGGGGAACCAGAGAGGTGGCCAGCGCGGGGAGCGTCGCGGTCCATCTCATGCACGAGCAGCCCGTGCGGACGGACGCCAGGGTCAGGGTGGCCGACGCTCAGGGAGGGAGGTGGGGGTAGAAGGCGGTGCTTTAGGGTTGTGCTCATGGTCCATGGGTCTCCTTTGAGCGCTGTGCAACCGTTCAGCTCCGGGGCAGCCACTGTACCATCTGGGGAAGCAGGGGCAGCGAGAGGTGAGGGATGACCCTCGAAGAAGGAACTGAACTTGTCTTTCCGTCACTTTCTACGGACGAGGCCAGCTCCCCGGTTTGACTTTCTAAGGAGACGACGCTCAGAGATCAGCCCTCCAGTCAAATCGGGCTGCGGGTGTCGCCCTGCCGGGAGGGCGTGGGCGGGGCGCGGCTGCCCCCACGTCCGACCGCCTCCCCCCCACGAAGCCTCCCGCCGCCGCCAGGGGGCGCTCGCGGCCCTGCCGGCCTGAGGCTCTGCCCGGCGGCGGCCGGCGCCAGCGGCCCCCACGGCGGGCGAGCATCCGCGGCCGCCCGCACCGCCGCGCCGTCCTAACCCGCTTGCGAATAGCGAGCCGGGTGGCTGTAACGGCTCCGAGGTGGGTCCAGTCATCGGCCAGCCGAGCTGGTGGTTGTCCTGCGGTGCCAGGACGTTTAT